CCACTGGCTGTTTGTGATGGCAGACAGATTAGACCATAACGACGCATCCTTCTTCATTTGTCAAAGCAATCGTATTATTTTTCAGGAGATTCTTTTACTCGTCAGCGATCACTCCATCAAAGAACATCCTGTCTTTAGATCCTCTCTTCCACTGTTTTAGGGTTTTTATTCTATTTAGTTGTTGATTCTCGTTTGATGAAGTTCCCATGTGCCTGAGAAAGTTGAGATATCCGAACATTCTCGTACGGGTGTGAGTGAGTTTTCCAATGGACGTTCTTTTATTGCACTGCTACCTCTATGAATATAACTTAGATACATTTTAATGGTATTTACAGATTTTTGTTTTTTATTTACCTTCAAGAGTATTAAAATCCTCAAATGCTCTATTTTAGGATTCTGATCCAAAAGTTAAGGAGACTAATTGACGTGTCATAGACAGAATTAACAATTCTGTGGTAATAGCGATACGCAAGTGCCACTTAACCATATGTAGATACAAAGATATTGCCTCCGATTTTCCTGGATTACCCCGTTTGGTTGCCCATATTCCGTGGATCTTCAGATCTCCTGGATTGCGTTGGGTGTCCTTGGACTGCGTTGAATCGCCTTAAATTGCTTCGGATCTCCTTTCAGTGAGAATTTACTAATATCACATATTGAAATGAAGCAGTCGAATATCTGAGAGAAGGTTGGGCGTAGTGCTCTTACGTTTCCGGGAACTGAATTCCTGAAAACTGATAAGAGAGAAAAGCGGAAATCTCACCTTTGTCCATTGGTGTCAACTTTGTGATGGAACGTTGAACGATATAAAGAATCCATACAAATATTATTTTGCTGAAGATGGATGCATTCACAGACTTGTTTGACAGATATCAACAGTTGTTTCAGGAAAGAGAACTTCACCCACCTTGTTTTAGTGATTCCACTCCTCCATTTCCAAAAATAGGTTTCTAGATCGCCTCGGTCGGAAACAGAAATTTTCTTCTATAACCACTATATGTGAATTATTTCATGATTTTGCTAATCTGAGACGTCGTAAAATCGACCTTAAGTGTAACAATAATATTTAAAATGAGTTTATTTCTGATCCGCATCTCTAAATGATAACCCTCTAGTCAGTTTTCAATGACAAGAGTAATACCTACTGTTCGAATATGCCATTTGGAGAAAAGAAAGTACTTCATATAAATATGACACGCAACAAATGCTTGACGTTTAACTTCGTCAGAAGAAAGTCTGACTCCATTCTGTACATAACGCGTTTCTGATACGCCACTGGCTGTTTGTGATGGCAGACAGATTAGACCATAACGACGCATCCTTCTTCATTTGTCAGAGCAATCGTATTATTTTTCAGGAGATTCTTTTACTCGTCAGCGATCACTCCATCAAAGAACATCCTGTCTTTAGATCCTCTCTTCCACTGTTTTAGGGTTTTTATTCTATTTAGTTGTTGATTCTCGTTTGATGAAGTTCCCGTGTGCCTGAGAAAGTTGAGATATCCGAACATTCTCGTACGGGTGTGAGTGAGTTTTCCAATGGACGTTCTTTTATTGCACTGCTACCTCCATGAATATAACTTAGATACATTTTAATGATATTTACAGATTTTTGTTTTTTATTTACCTTCAAGAGTATTAAAATCCTCAAATGCTCTATTTTAGGATTCTGATCCAAACGTTAAGGGGACTAATTGACGTGTTATAGAAACTAGGAGAAAAGTCTTTCATACTACACAGCAGTTTACAATCTTTTGGTTTTCTAATTGTTATGCCATGTTGCATAATCATCAAACACTGTATATTAATAGGTTGCGAGCTTCCAGATCTTTTGGTTGAAAAATGTTTACAGGAAGACAAGTTCCCCAATTTCAAGTCATTTTTTAACTTATCAGTTATAGGGTGTGGTTAAAAAGTGGTGGTTGGATGAAATTTTTAAAGATGATAAACCTCGTTTCATATCCTATAATTCGTGAGTCCCTTCAATCGTATTGAAACGATTGGTGGGAATCGATTAATATTATTGTGATATCGTTTTAACGGAACAATAATAGATCCTCAATCATAATTTCAAATAGTGGGATTTAAATATTGTGCCCAGCGATTATGCGTATACACCTCATATTGTGCACGTGTTATAAGTTCTGAGAAAGTTTCTCGTCACTTTTCATGAAAATTACGGTGCAACGGTGAATGTTCACGTCATCACAATTATGGCCTTTTCGTGGCTCCCATGGGACAATACTGGTGGTTTCACTTGCAGATAATATCATAACTGTCATATTCCTCAAACCTGAAATAATTATTCAGATAGCTCAAAATTTAATAGAGTTATGAGATTTTCTGTGTTAGGTGCTATAGCTGACCGCCCTGTAAGTCCGGCTTCTGGTCTACGGCACTGACGCGGCAGGACAGCGCGATTGCCCTCACTGTCGCGTTTATCCTTAGCGCTGAAGCTGCCTAGACTCAATATATTGTATGTATCTTAGTATAGACTGCTGTGCCATATTATAGATATACAATAAATAAAATGGAGGGAGGTTTTAGGCGTACTGAAATACCACTAATCTATCAGAGGTGGCATAATGGTTGTTATTGGCTAAATAATATACTATGCGAAACATTTATGCTCTATCAGTCATTAAAATTTATGATTAAGCCCACACGCGATCGACGCCACGGTGGTTCAAAAGTTCTCGTATATGGCAAAAATTAGAAAGATAAACTAAATTCGACAATGTTGAAACTCAAATTGAAGTTTTAGATGCTTTACGTAGTCGTTAATAACGAATTTGATATCGATTGAAAAAAATACAAATAGTGGTTCTAGAACGACGGCTATGTTCGCAAAAAATGTTTTTATCTGGTTAAAAATTAACTTATAATAGACATGAGATCACTAATAACGGAGTATATATCAATTGTTAAAAAATCTAAATGGTGGATCCACTATGACGACTATGTTTGCAAGAAAATCCATTGCGCTCAAATTTTACTTTTATATCTTTTCAAGGTATACGAGCCCCTCCCCACTTCAGTTGGCCCAACTATTGAAGTCTCTAGTTTTTTTCTTATCAAATACAAATAATAAAAATGTAGCAGGGTGTTATAGGTTTAAAATATTAACAATGATTATTTTGATAATATATAGTAGAAAACACCAACTTCATCACTCCCTAATCAAATTTGCAGCATAAAAATAATAACACATGTTGCAATTAGAGCATATCAACCTATTTTCATTTTAATGCAAAATATGTCTATAACGCATAGGTGGCTGTGAAAAATAAAAGCCATGACAATTGTTTTTATTAATCACAGCTGTCAGAATACGTTTAAAATAGTTTTGGGTATTTAAGGTTTTCAAAATGAGTAGAGGAAAGGTTATTAGTGAAAAAATTCGGTTACTGATAATTTAATTGTTTAATTCTGGGAAATCAAGCTCAGAAATTGCAACTTTGTTAGACTTATCGCGGTACAGTGTGAGAAATATTGTTAGAAGATATAACGTAACTGGTTCAGTTAATATTAAGCCACGATATGTGAAAAAAAGTAATATCATAAATGCCAACCGGAGAGCATTAAGAAGAATAATCGTGAAAAACAGGCGTGCCAGTTATTTACAATTAGTGCTCTGTGGAGTGACGCTGTTGGAAGGAGAATTTCGAGGTCCACAACTCATAGAGAAACCCACAAACTGGAATTTAGCACTTGCAAGGTAAGTTTTCTTATAGAAAAAAAGTGAAGTAAACACCTTAAAGTTGCACAACTTGTTTATAGGCCAAAGAAAAGCCACTATTAGCTTTACTGCAAAAGAAAAATCGGCTTAGATGGGCTAAAGACCATATACAATGGACACCTCAACAATGGTGTGCAATACAATGGAGTGATGAGACCCGATTCGAAGTGTGTCTTGGTGACAGTCGCAGTAGAGTTATTCGAAAAAAATGAAGCATTCCATGTTGACTGTCTGAAGAGAAAAGCGAAATTTCCAGCATCTATTACGGTCTGGGGCAGTATGTCATCAAAAGGAGTAGGAAAACTTCATTTTATTGATGGAAATGTGGATCCAAACCAATATTTGGCAATTTTAAAAGAATAGCTTTTACCAGTGATGGAAGAATGTTTGACATCCGGCCAAGATTTTGTGTTTCAGCAAGATGGTGCAGCGTGCCATACCTCAATAAAGGCTATAAAAGGGATGGAAGAAAATAATGTACCACTTTTGAACTGGGTTTCTAGCAGTCCAGATCTGTCACCTATTGAAACTTTGTGGAACGTGATGAAAAAGGTTCTACGACAACGATCCTGCTCGTACAATCACCGAACTGAGACAAAAGCTTCAAGAAATATGGGATTGTTTTACACCAAATTTTTGTCAAAACTTGGTTAACACTATGCCCCAAAGAATCTCAGCCGTAATAAAAAATAAAGGTGATGTTACCAAATGGTAATCTTTCAATTGTTGCCTTGTTAACTTCGCGCATTTATTCGCAGATTGTTTATTTGTTCATATGTTCTATTAGTTATAGGTCTAAGTAATTTCAAATATGTATTTTTTACGACTATAGTGTATATAGAATGTTTTTGAGAAAATAAATTGTTTTAGAAGTAAATCGTTTCATCATGTTTAGTTTATAAAGGCATATTTTGGTACAAATCTTGAAGTCGGCCAACTGAAGTGGGAAGGGGCTCGTACTTTCTGTACCATTGTATAATGTCGTATAATTTCCAAAGTTGCAGTCAGCTGCAGTCAAAATTGACATATTTCTTAATGTGGTGCCTGATAAACATGCTACTATTGAGAATAGAGCAGACTCTTACGTTTTTTTAAACTGTTTTTGAATTCCCTAATTGGGGAAAAATGTCAGTTACGTATTACTGTCGTATATTATCATGTCTCGATTGGCAAGTAATAGATTGCCATATCATAACAGCTATCGGGTAAACACTACAGTTAAGATTTATCTTTTTTATCAATATTTATTGTATATTTTCAAAAACGCTTTCATTTTCTAAACTGGTTTTCATTATTTTATTAGAACAGCGACAATAGTACGTATTTGAGCCTAGTATACTTTTGAAGAAACAATAAAGGGCAAACAATACAAAAAAAGGATAGTTACAGGACAGTTCTGATATTTATTGGATACACTACGGATACTTATTGGACATGTACAAGGGAAACTAGACATCAATGCAGAATGGCTGTTTTTGGCATCCTTTACTCATTTTCACAACAAAATAAATTTTACTTACAACTAGTAAAAGGAATTAATATTGGAGTCATGTCTTTTGTTGTGCGTATTCCTGGTCCAACTGATACTTCTTGACATTTTTTCGATGTAAATCCAAATGGAAATTCTCTTGCCTTTCCTTCTTGGACTTTTTGGAATTGTGAAGTATTGAATATATAGCTCAGAGTTTATGGAACGTATATTGTTACTCATTTGTGGCGTCACGGATGATGCTGTAGCTGTTTCCAAATTTTGCAAATCTCTGAGAGGAAATCTTGTGGCTTCCACTAGGACATCACCTATAACCTCATTCCTTGCTGCTGCTGCTGCTGCTGGTAGCTGTTGTTGGTGTGTGTTTTTTTCTGTAGTATCCTGATTTACAATTGATGACACTTCTTGCATGTCAGAGGATGATCTGAAAGGATTTCTGATGATATTAGGTGTGAATGCAACCAATTTTGAAATGTTGCCAAAGTTTAAAAAGACACAAAATCATCTGTAATAGATGTCGGGAACCTGCAGACTTAATATTTCAAATTTGTTAATCATTTCTTGGCCCACAATCTGAACAAATGTCTTTGTTGAAGAATGGTCATCCGTTAAGCAACTATGGTGAGCAGTTGGATGATATTATTTACGACAGCTCCCACACCTTTATATTGTGGTTTTATTTCACGGCTACTTGGAAAAATTCGCATCTCTTAATTATAGCAAAGCGAGTCATATATAGTTGAACTACTACTAGTTGCATCCGTATACTTTGCCTCCTTGGCATCAGTATCGATCGCATTCCAGATAAAACATCATAATAATGTCATAAAACACTCGACCAATGGCTGCTGAACAATGCACCAATACCAAACAGTGATATCATCCGCCATGTTCATTTCCAATATTTTGCAATCTTTATCGTCCCTGTGATGCGATAAGAATAATGAGCCATTGAAAGCTATTCAACTTTCTGAAAAACAAACTATACGTGGTTTATCTTTATAGATTTCTCTCCGTTCTGGGCTGATCATTTAATACCACCAACAAATCTCATAAATAAAAACCGTTAATGTGGACTTTTAAAATGGCGCTGATAAAAAAATGAATAGAACAATCGCGTGTTTTGATGTCTGGAGTAATTTAGGGATTTATCGTTTGACGAGGCGGCCGCATTCTTTGGCCTTTGTTAGAGATACCTTTTTCTATACCGAAGCAGTCCCGTAAGCAGAAGCATAAATACCAGGGTACCGCGGTTGCTATAAGGAGCTTAAATGAACTTTGTTTATACGATTTTTGAACTGCTTAAGGTTAGTAGAATCGGAAAGAACCTCCTTGGACAGATGATTCCACAATCACGATATCCAGGAACAAAGGAGCGGTCGTATTGGCCAGTTCTGGATATACGAAGTTCGACACAGGTAGGATAGGAGACCGATGTCAGGCGGGTCTGTCTGGCAGGCCATCGCGGCATCATGGAGGAGATCCCTGAGGAGTAAGGCTCGTTGAAATAGCCCGTCGGTGTAAAGGAGTCTTGAGGCTCTCCGTTAGACAAGCATGATCGACCAGTCAGACAGCCCACCTGTGAACAGCATTGAGCATCGATAATGTGATGGCCGGGACGACAGCACCCCAAATATGTGAGCAGTGCTTGATGCTGAAAATTACATCTCAGTGCTAAATGAATAATCTAGCTTTTTCTCAGCAGCTGCCGCTATTGACGAGACTTGCTCGTGTCAGATCAAGTACTCGGCGATCTAGGCTCCGACTAGCCGAAATGAACGGTTCTTTGATATAACTCGAAACCGTATGAGCGCTAGGGCGTCTGTGGTTAGTCAAGGTCCAGTACTGTGCTTTGGAAGCATTAAACTGTACCAGATTGTTGCGTCCCAAGCAGTGATAACCTTTAGGCTGCTAGTCTCCTTTTTACCAGCTCACCCGCAATCAGCTTGTCGCTCTGAATTATTGCATCTAGAGTACTGTCATCAGCAAACCTGTGGAATAAACTATAATTGTAAGCTTTGAAAGTTTACTTGAGTGCTAGAGGCCATTTTCTTAATTACATCGTCGAATAACGTATTCTCCAAAAAGATGACGATTCGTATGCTGTATTTGGACGTTTGCATACAATTTCTGTCACAGGTATATTGCTCAGTAGGATCCCAGTAATTTCCTTAGAAGTATCAAAAACGGACTCCATTGTTCTTTAGAACAAAATTATTTATTCGTAGACATGGCACGAACCTTTCAAGTAAAAGTTATTCCCCAACTGCCTCGTAATTGTATCATTAAGATTACGTATTCTCAGTGTTACCTTACTTGTACAGTATCTGATATTCCAGATTTTTTCCTCAGTTGCATTGCTTCTTTGTATTTGAATATTGATGTGAAAAACGAATGCTCAAATTTTTGCTATGCCTTTCAATTGCACTTTTTGAATATTTACTATGGACACTTCTGCTCTCCTTTATGGCCCTATTAATCGACTCGGACCTTAATAAACCCCATTAGGGCGCGTATATCTCAACCGTCACCGCTAATCATTGACCTACTATCGAGAACAAAAGCGAAAAACCACTATGGAGGGTCCCTAGCCACTCACAGTGCTGCTGATAGAACGAGAGCTTTGTTTAAGAAAAACATTTTATCCTCTCGGAGATCTTGAAATATTTATTGTCTATACGACACAGCTGGGTGCTTTAAATCGGTTGATCTTTGACTAAGTCTTTTTCAAGTGCTTCAATTACACTTGTGCCTACTTTGTATTAAACTGCCGTTTTTGATAGTGACGCTGTGAGGAGAGGGTATTAGGCTTTTATGATTTTATCCATCACAAAGATTTTTGGTAAAGGCACAAGGCAAACTGGATTTCAATAAATGTCTGGGATTTTTTCTCTAACGACGCAACGACTGCAGGGTATAAAAATACTATAGAAGACGTTTAGACAACATGGAATTAAAAGGCATTTGAACTTGAAATGCTTTGCCATTTTGGAGGAGGTCTATTATATAATAATATATATTAGCCTAAACGCATACATCACGTGAAGCATCATTCATTTTAGGGCATTTTGGCAAGCAACGTTATCTTTCGGGACTTTTTACTTCTCTACGAAAGACCGGATTTGCGTTTTGTTTAAAAAATAGTTCAGCTTACTTGTGCCAACGAAAAAAAGCGAATGCCAGAAAAAGGAAATTCTTAGACAAGATGATATATTGGATTTTTGGGCAGATGAATAGAGCTTTTTCTGATTTCAAAAATGTATCATATGAAAAACATTGACATCGCCAAACCTTAGTTATTACATAAAAACAGAATTTCCTAGGTAGGCCTTGTAATTATCAGATTTCACTTTCGTATACCAGACCAGACCTTAAATTGAACCTAACCACCGAGTTTCGAACTCAGAAGAAGAGAAATAAATCGAGCAGTGAACAATGTTTAGAGAAGGGTCAGGGTTTTACCATACCTCTTTATTTTCTTATAATTTTCATTCAACAACAAATGCATGGCCAACTAAGGAAAAACGTCACTGAATTTAGGACTGAAAGGTCCTTTTAAATGTACAAGATACCAATATAGCGTCCATATGAAAAAAAAAAATTGTAAATGCCAATCTTATGTCGTATGATACATTTTTGGAATCAGAATTAAAAACTCTATCCATCTGTATAAAAATCCAATATGGTGTCCGTAAGAAATAATAAAGTAGATGTTATCTTGTAGAGGAGTAAAAGTGGTAATGTTAAAGTGCAATTTATTTTGAAATCCCGCTACAAATTAGGTCAGCAAAAAATTAAATTTGTTTTGCTTCGAATTTCGAAACTTTCAAAGCGACATTTTGTTGATTATCTAAATACGCAACTTTGCCCCCAAGCGACTTCGTACAGTTTTCGAGATCGAAATGGTGAGTATCGAATTTGAAACACTCTGTATAAGACACCCATTTTGATTGATTTTTGTAAACAACGCAACTGCCTAACTGAAAATCTATGGCAATGATTTATCGTTTTTGATTCTTTAAACTCAAAATTTGAAGTTTTGGTTTCCATAACATCAGATGTCTAGCTCTACTTTTATCATTTTCATTATAGTCAAATGTTGCTGAAACTGAATATTTGCGGCAATAATTATTTTAAATTTCAAAGAAGTTTTATCTTGTACCCTAGGTTCTTTAATGTTTTCTTTATTCTACTCATCGTAATTTTATTTTATTTTGATTCAAAAAATGCTTCAGCTCTATCTGTTTTTAAGTTTTGAAACCATTAAAGTTGTCGTTTAGGCTATTTTTAAAATAATCATCTTATTTGATTTTCATTCTGATAAATTGTTAAAGCTCACATCATATATTTATGCCTTCATTTTGTGGACTCATAGAAATACATCGATTATTTTATTGTTATAAAGCCAATTTTACAATTTTTCGAATCGATTAATATTCGATAATCGGTTTCCTTCACTCATGGTCACATACGTAGTTGTGACCCCTACGGAATGAGAATAAAGATTGTTTCACACTTTGAAACATTTATTGCCCTGGCTATGTATGATCTGATTAATTTATCGAACTTTTACCTAGTGCGCCAATGTTGGTAGCTTGGTGGATATTTAGTATTCGTATATAGGGTGGACAACCTTGTCCGGCTTCTTAGAGGACTTGGTCACGCTGACATACCGGCGAACTGTGGTTTCTTGCTAGCATACCATCAGCAAGAGACGAATCTAATAAGTTATAATAGGTAACGGACAAAAAATAATTCTCATCTCGATCAAGTGACGCTCTATCTAATAAACTAACAACTACCAGTAAGTTTGACATGTTTATGGTTTGTTCTAGAAAGCTTGCGTGAAGGAAATATTTGATAACTACTATAAATCGTGTTTGACCATGATACAAATTATATTTCATCGAATTGTTCAAGCGACTCCTGAGGGATGCGAAAAGGAGGGAAATATATTTATTCTTTAAAAATGCATTTCTTTTTGATATTTAGTTTGATATTTTAGGCAAAAGTCCCCGTCGCTATAATTCTTTATGATAGTAAACTTAAGCTCTTAGGTACAATCAAGGGTAAAATATGTGCACAGATGCGCGAAGCTGCGCACAAGATACAGGAAGAATGTAATGTTAATGAATGTAAATAAAACTTCAGCTACCATTCTACTTACTGCTAGAAGGCAACTGTGTGAAACATTCACAATCACAAAAACAGCGTATTGCTTAGCTTTTTTCCTTTTTTAGATGAAACAACAAAAAGTCGCGTACGGTACCCGTTGTAAGCGCGTAATTGATCTTAGAAAATATGATCACATAACGAAACCCATTTGGATGTAAATACTCGTAGCTCCTATGGCTGTTATGGGGTTCTACATTCAAAAGCACCTGAGACATTGCGATTACACAGCATGCAGGTATGGGACCAGATCCGTGAGGCAAATCTGTGTGCCAACCTTGTTAATTCAATGCCCAGGAGACTTCAAGCTGTTATAGTTGCGCAGACGGGTTATACACATTATTGAAACAATTTCGCAACTGTAGGATTAGTATTTACTTAGTACCTTATATTCAAATTAGTTCCCATTTACAAGCAAACTCACAAGTCAAGATAAACCAGTAAAAATATAGAATCACTTTGTAGTACAGATTTTGGGTAATTAGCTGTACGTTGAGAGTGGAGTATATTATTTTTTTATATTCAAGCAGCCGTAAAACGAGAACCTAAACATGAAGGTACCGTACTGGCATAATTAAGTTACGTGTCACCTTTAAGTTTCGCATCTATTGCATTTTTTAAAAAGGTATTTTATAAAGCACGAACTATCTTTCTCGAGAACTCTTTCTCATACCATGTAATTTGGACAAAAGTTGCTTGAATGTTTGAGGTAAAATCCGTACAATAGCTTTGAAAATACGCTGAAAACTTGTGAAGTACATTAAAACGTTGGCAGAATGTTTTACAGATAGGTTGAAAAATGATGCGAGTCTCTACTTCGGTGTGTCGTCCTTAAACTTCGTCACTTAGTGTTTTTGTGAATGTGAATGAAAAGAGGAGGCAAAGAGACGTTGGCTCCTGCCTCGATTCACTGACCTGAGTAGCGCCCCGATCGATCCATTTTCAGACCATCCCATCGCCGATTGCCATTTCTGTCTCGCCCGCAGTTGCTTGCGATCACTTCGAGCGGTTTCGAAGCCCCAACTAACTTCGGTAGCTTTAAATGCGATTCGTAGGTGAGCAGGCAAGGATCAAGGGGCATTCTGTACCTTACATGATGACATTGACCTTTTAACAATCAAGTTGCTCTCAAAGTGACTCAATTGTTACGCGTTGCGCCTGTCAGATGGACTCCTAAGTCTGTCGAACTTCTTATATCCAGAACTGGCCGGTACAACCGCTCTTTTGTTCCTAGGGTATCAAGACTATGGTTAGGGGTCGGTGGTATCGCGCTTAGCCGACACTTTTAGCAAATTTTCCAAAAATTCACTATGTCATCTAAGGAATTGCGCTGCTGAATATTGAATCGACGACCGTTCTTTTTAGTCTTTTTTGTAGAGATTAAGACCCATATCGTCAGTCGTCCCTACAATTGTAGGACGCCTTTATGGCCTCCTTGATTGTCATAGTTTTCTATTTCTCCGTGTCAGCGCCATATTTTGAGGTTATGTCACAAATATCTATTTGCATCAAATTGTGCTTGCTTTTGAGTTATATCATGTTTTATCAGACTGAAATTTTCTACAATTCAAAAAGAAAACACATCTTTACAATAGGAGAGCGCTGACGCTGACACGGGACAAGTGTAATCTAGAAATTTTTGAAGGAGAGAAAGGAGGCCATAAATGCGCCCTACAATTGTAGGGACGACTGGCGATACGGGCCTAAACTACTCGTGTTAGGCTTTCCCTTTACTTGACTTTAGTAGCAAATATCTGATAGCTATAATATTATTAAACTTTTATCTTTTATTGTGACGAACAATCAGTCAAAAGTAACTTAATTCATAAGAAATCAAGTACTGAGTCAATCTACTCTAAGCCATTTCTCGCCTTCCAAGCTCCAGAGATGTGCGGGTAATCCAAGTCCAGGGTTGTGATTGCAAATGATCACTCAATCAGGGTTGGCTGAGCAGCTGGCAGATGTTTTTCCTCGCCCTTGTCATTATCGCCCTAGCACTGTAGAAAAGGGAGGGGAGACGGACGTGATTATATCCTGGTTTGCGGAATAGAGATGTTTAATGAGTGGTAATGTGATAAATGTACAGTGGGGTATGGAAGGGGGAGTAAAAAGTTGGGTCAAGTAGATTGAATCGGTATTTTCCAAACATTTAAAAAGTTTGTACACATAGTAAAACAATCGTTGTTCTAGAGCCTTATAGGCTTAGGATCGCAGCAGCCGAGTTTTGAGGGTCCGTCAAGGCAGGAATGGGGCACTTACTGTTTTGCTTCTGGGGACAAAAAAAACCAGAATTTCCTAAGTCTGCCTTGAACCTATCAAATACTCATTTGTTTCATAACATTATCAGGCATCCTTCAGTTTTTATGTACTAGGCACAATTGAGCAGCTCCCTTGTTCCCTATTTCCGATTTGAATGGACAAATTATCTGAATATGGTTCAAATATGCTTCTAAGAAACTGGATCATTGGTGATTTGATCGGATAAACATGTGATAAACTGCCAACTATGCCAATTATAAAAATAATAGTGTTATTATAAAATAATGATAGGGTAGGGTGCCCCAAGTCTGCGCACTTAAAGTTTGATAAGCCGTAGAATCGTGAATCAATAACCTATTGTAATAATCTTAATTTCTGTTTAGGCTCACATTAATGTACTTTGTTAATTTAAGTTTTATTCAAACATCTGATAACAATTTTGTTAGTAATTAAAAGAAAAAGACAAAGATGTAAATGCGCAGTCTTACCACTACGGGTCCCTGGATATTGCGCATTCAGATCGTTAAGATTGCGCATAGATAACAAAAACTTAAAAGTAGGAACTAAAACAGAATAAGGTATCTTAAGCGCATAAATCGCACTTAAACATTCCAATGCCTACGTAGGCCGTACATTTCTCATGCCACCATTTAGAACAAACAGAACAACCGATCCAATCCTCTGTAATCGGCTCTTTATACTCCTCATTGCAGCCACCGCATGCCCATTTCTTTTTTTTAGGATATTTAGAAGGCTTTCTGCAAACTTTTTTCATTTTTTTCTCAGGAGTTTTCTTCAACTGATTCTCTACTAATAGCTGTTCTTTATATGAAGAACCACTAAGTATTTCAGATTTCTTATGTTTTCGCTTGTTTGCGGTCTTTCTTATACCTGATTTTGGTATAGGGCAAATATCTTGGAGTTTCACTTTGATTGCGGCCGATTCATTGCTGCAAGATGGTACCTGTGCAGGAACTTGGAAGATACCACCATTTTTTTCAGCTGGAGGACCGTCGAAGTTTTTCTTTTGCGCTGACTCAGAACTCACAACTGGTTCGGCTGGAGCTTCTATTACTAGAGAAACATTCTCAATTGCTGTAAAAGCGTTCCTCGGACTTGATGGTTTTTTTGGCTCCTCGTTGAAAACAGAAGCACGAGGCTCATTATCCATAACTGGTTCTCTCTGTTCATGGGGTGTTGCTTCTTGAGGATTCTCCTGTTGTGATTCTGAACATTGGTTATCATCCATTTCTCTTTCGGTCACAGCACTAGGAAGAAAATCTGCATCTGTGAAGATATCTGGATTGTATGGGTAGATTCCGGACACCTTGAAACATTCAGCAGCACAACCAACTGTAGCTGCTTTATTAAACGCTGGAGTGAATAAAGACGTCATCTGAAAAGCAGTTATAGCTCTGCCAGGGTGGTTTCTCATCCATTTTTCACATTCGCTCGCAAAATAAGTCTTCAACGCACTATGAAAACCTTTGTCTAGTGGTTGCATCTTGTGGCTGCTGTGTGGAGGTATGGTTAGAGCTATTATGTTATTCGCTCGATAAAAGTCTACAGCCCCTATTGTACAATGCGACACATGATTGTCAAGAACCAGAAGGATAGGGTGTTCTTTAGTTGGTCTTGTGTGATCTTTAAAGTGACCTAGCCAGTTTAAAAAAAGTTCACTATTAATATAACTTGTGTCTGAGACCATTCCAATAGACGCTGGTGGTGCGCCATCCAGCAATTCTGCTTTCATCCTTTTGCGACCGAATATGAAAGCGGGAGCAATGAAGTGTCCAGAAGCACTCATAGCATTCACTACGGTTACGTTCGTTCCTCTTTCAGCGCTAGAAATCTTATTAACAGCGCGCTTTCCTTTTTTTGATATGACCCTTGGAGGATTGTTGGGTACGGTAGACAGACCAGTTTCATCCATATTATAAATGGAAGTTGGAGGAAACTTATACTTGTCCATCAATTCTGCTAGATTTTTGTAGAACCTTTCACATTGTGGCTTATTAAATCCCATCGCCCTAGCAATACTTGTGGAAGTTGGACGTCTTAGTGAAAGATCTGGGTGCCGACTGAGAAATCCACGAAGCCAGTGTTTGCCTGCCATTTTCTTTTCGGCATTGAAACGATGAGGAATATTATTTTTCACCACAAACTCGTAAGCAGCAATCCTCAAATTCTTAGGAGTCATCCCTTGAAACATATTGTCAAGATCTTCCAAATAATTACAAAATTCCTGTTCAATTTCGGGAGAAAGAGTTGCATCATATCTACCAAGCTTTGTTGCAGCTTCTTTTCTCTTCAGGCGATACCGCAAAGTACTTTCTTTCATCCCGTACGACGATGCTACTTTTCTTTTGCTTTCACCATTTTCTATTCGTCTTCTAGCTTCCTCTAAAACATATTGAGGGCACAGCGAACGTTTCGACGACCTTTTTCTTTGATTAGGCATTCTGAAAATGAATATTTAAGGTTGTTATATCAAATTAAAAGTTATGGTAGGGTAAGTCTGCGCGCGTAGTCTTACGGACCCTGAAAACACTGGTCAAATCTTTGATAGTACTTCAGGCTTTCATGTAATTACAGTTTGAAATTGAGAAACAATAACATCAGAATCGATATTTAACTTCAAACTTACCTTGCGACTAGGTTTTGATAGGTTTTTGGTTTGTTTTTTCCACAGCGCACTCACTCACAGCAACGGCCCAGAACACGAGAGAAGTTAGTCGACAATGTCATTTTGCTTTCGAACTATTGGAGCTGCGCAATCTTACCTCCTGCGCAAAGTTAGGGCACCCTACCCTACAATAACTTGACAGCTTTAAAGTATTGTATTCTAAAAGCAGAATAAAAAATTGTGCAAAAATCCAATATGGTGACTATAAGAAGAAATAAAGTTAATAATTGAGGACAAGGGAGGACACGTCATATTGAACCTTTAATTGTGTCACCCTGTAGAGGCGACAAAGTGACAATGTTATTTATTATTTATTTTAAAATACTATCTTAAATAAAGCCTTTAATAAAGCCAGCAAAAATAATTCCGATTTTGAGAAAAGCCGGTTCGTTTACACGAATATGAGGAATTGCGAAGCTTTCCATGTGCCGTTTTCTTACTTACCTAAATGCGCAACTTTGCCTCGTTTAACCGACTTCGTATCTCTTGTGGTTTCCGATACTCGGATATGTCTGGCCATAGCAAGCCTAATGTTACAAAAACAAAGAACCCTCTAAAGAAGTCTCACAAGAATCTATGAACGCAGTTACGCGCCGTAAAGGTAAAAAGAAGTGGAATGAGTATAATTCAAATTACAGTAATGAATAATGTATACCATGATGATACGTTAAAAGCTGTTTGCACGCAATAACAGAAGACAAAAGCAATTATTCGAAGTTTTTTTGAAAGCGTCTCGGCAATAAAAGTTTGTCATGCAGGGGATGGCTAGGAAAAGCTAAGCGTTCTTGGCGACCGTACTAAATCACGCCGGACAATCTTATCGCAAAGGATTGGTCAGCCAAAGTGTACAAATTACAAGAAGTAATTTCACTGCTTATGTTCAGACCCGTCAAGCAGTGCCATCAACTTTCATGGAAACAAACTCACATTATTATTACTGTCAAATGTAGCTACTTAAGATACTTATTCATTTCGACAAGTTACAGGCACTTGTGTCGGGTGGATGTCGGACAACATGCTCCTGTTGTTCATGTTTAAATACGCCTGATCAAATACATGTGTTCTGGACCCTTAGAACGTCTTGTGGATGTTGATATCTGCAACATGCAAGCTGAAAAAGAAGGCTGCGCACTGCAGTCATTACTTGTACATGCTGCGGGATGAGTTTCTTGAAATGGACAGATACCTTTATGACGATTATACGTAGCTGAGTGAGGTTAAATGGTAGATTCGCGTAAGCTAAATTACGCCCAAATAAATATCTTAGTATTATCACTACTCGCGCATGGAGCCCTGGAAGTATTAGACATTGGACATTAGACTATCGATTTATTGACAATTAAACATGCTAAATTGATCTAAATGTCAGCAGTACAGAGTAAAATACATAAAATCAATCTAAATACAAGTAACCTAAAATGACAACAAAAACATGATTAAAAATGTATGTCTTCATATTTGAAATTCCTCAACGCTATAAAATGCGTGTCGCATGAGGAAGTTTTTAAGTTCCGCGTTCAATTTGTTGCAGCTTTTGAGTGTCCTAATAGTGTCACGTAAACTGTTAAATAAAACGACACAATAGATTGTAGAATGGAAACGTTTGAGTAGGAGCATCTGAATGAGTTAAATTTTGACGTTTTGGGTATTATATTGATGATTTTGTGACAGGTCAGGAAGCAGGTTATCATTTACTCTTAAAAAACTAACACATCTGAGAATATAAACAGAATAAAGTGTGAACATGTTGCTCTACCTAAACACCTCTCTGCAAGATTCGGTAGGTTTTATGTTAAATGTCAGACTCAGCAATTTCTGACTCTACTCACTTTCGATGGAGTTATCCCATGTCATGATTATGAAGAATGAATAAGATATGCTTTATTCAGGTTGTTACATACGAGATCAGCATGCTTGACAGAGGATAGCTTACTGCGATGACTCTTAGGTACTGAGCAGTATGTTGTCTTGTGGGATCGGCGTACAGATGGTAAAAATTAACAATAGTGTCGTTCATCAGACATCTGTTGCGTTGACACCACGCCGAACACTGATCCATAGCGGCTACTACTTTTGAGTGAATCTCATCAGTAGCGGACAATGATACAGTAGTGTCATCCGCAATCATAGTAACATGCGCAGAAGGCGTACATTTGGGCAAATCATTGATAAACAGTAAAAAGTCGAGCGGCCCTAACATTGACCCTTGCGGAACGCAAAGTTGAAGTGGATGACTTGCTGACATTACTTCTACCTTCTTCTAGGTCTATCAATTGTATGTGACAACCGGTCCAAAACAACATCTCTAATACCGACGCTGTTTAGCTTCCATCTCAAGAGTTGTTTATCTAGGGACTCAGACGCTTTTGATGAATCAAACAGCAACGCCTATTGTTAAGATTCTCCTAGATGTATTCAAGAAGATGGCAACAAGCAGTTTCCACAGATGTTTTACATCTAAAACCACGTTGGGAAGATGGAAGAATTTTCTTACTCTCAAGAAAAAAATATCTTGTTGTAAACGATACTTTCGAAAATTTTGGAGATTAGGCTAGGAGTAGGAGGTCTGTAATTATCAATGTTGTCGTGCTCACCTGTTCTAGAGAAGAAGCTGAACAAAAAACAATTAAATAAACCAGTTGTTCAACAATATCCTATATAAAAACGCTAATTAGGTTAATATTCAATCCATCCAAGCCTCATGAGTTTTTATTTCTATTCCACTCATTTTCGTCGGTCTGACGGATTTTCTCTCTGTCCGCTAATCTTTAGCATGTTTATAATTCAGGAAGTAGCACCGCGGATTTTGAGAAAATATTCCCACAACGATACCAAGGACGGAAAAGCGTTGTTTTTTCTTAAAATCACACCTATTAGACATATTCCATAAATAATATGTTTCTCCATATATTTGCCATTAAAAATTATCAAATCAATATCTATGGTTGTTATGAACATATACTAAGTGACATATAAATCCGAACACCCAGTTTAAATGGTTTTATTTTAATAAAAGTTGGTGAATGTATTTATCTTACTGTAAATAACAAGTGTAAAAATTTTCAGCCTTATCAGTTGGACATTCCGGTTTTTATACTGCTTTTTTTTAATTCACTAACGCTCTAGAAATGAATATTTCAGCCGCAGTAAAGAATGAACGTTGGCGGATTTTGGTTCTTGACATCCTTTACGATCGGTTACGATGCCTAGAGTATGGAGACCTGTACGATTTCGTCAACTTAGTGAGTTTGATAGGGACCGTATAGTGGGACTTCGGGAAGCTGGACTTTCTTTTCGGGCAATTGCAGTTAGAGTGCAAAGAAGTGTAGACCTGTGGTTAGGTGTTGTTAGGCATGGCTTCAAGAAGGCCGTACGCAAAGAGCAAGGGGCACTGGACGCCGCCGTAAAACAACAGACCGTGAAGATCGCCGCCTAAGATTATTGGCCTTAAGGGACCGTTTCTCCACTACCAGGTACATTGCAAATGAATGGTTTGCAGAACACGAAAGACCTATTGGCATGCGAAGTGTTTGCCGACGAATGAGAAGTTTTGGCTTGTTTTCATACCGGCCACACTGGGTCCTCCCTTTAACTCGAGAACACCGACGTAATCGCCTTGAGTGGTGCAGACAACGGTCACTCTGGGATCAGGAATGGAACAGTATTGTCTTTAGTGACGAGTCTCGATTTTGTTTAGGCATGCACGATGGTCGTGCCAGGGTTAGAAGGCGACGTGGTGAAAGGAGGAATCCACAGTTTTTTGTTGAAAGACATGTTCATCACACTGTTGGAGTTATGGTTTGGGGTGCTATAGCTTATGGTTCCAGGTCACCTTTAATCTTCATCAGAGGTAACATGAACGCGCAGCGTTATATCCATGAAGTTCTAGAACCCCATCTTTTACCCTATCTTGACACCCTGGCAGATCCAACTTCCCAACAAGATGATGCCCGACCACATGTTGCAAGAGTCACAATAGACTTCTTTCAACATAATGATGTCACATTGTTACTATGGCCACCAAGATCTCCCGACTTATCCCCAATTGAGCACGTGTGGGATATGATGGGTAGGAGATTGCTCAATTTGCAACGTCCTCCTCTGACTCTAGAAGCACTTCGAGAGGAGTTGGTGGTTGCCTGGAATGAGATACCACAGGAGGACATTGACCACCTGATCAGAAGCATGCCTAGGCGCGTTGAAGAATGCGTAGCACATCAGGGTGCATCCACACATTATTAAAGGTCAAAGGGCTCTAAAGCAGTGCAATCATTTTGAAATTTTTATCATTTACTTATTATGCTTCATTAAGTACTTATACAAAATTTTATTAAAATAAAACCATTTAAACTGGGTGTTCGGATTTATATGTCACTTAGTATATAAATTAACCTATCTCGAATACAAGACGGTACAAGAACTGTCCTTATTTATTCATCACCGTGTTAAATTGTACGGTATACAAAATTTTTGATACTATTTAAAATTTTCTTTTCATTCTAGTCGGTTACAGATAAAATTTTGTATGTATCTCGGGTGTAATAAGTGTGTATGTCCCAATGCTCGTTGAAACCCGCGAGGCTTCGCGCATTGGCCTCTAATTTCACGCCGTTAACGTCCTAGGTACATAGGTAAATGAGTATTACAGATATTGAAACATAGTCAGTAAAGTTCTTGTGCTAGGGCTTGGATTTCGTGGACTGAAACGTGTAACTTAACTCTTAGATTATGGAGCTTTTCCTAGTTCTGATAATGTTAAGTAGTTCAAAAGCTTGATTAACAGGATCTTTAAAGACAAGCTCCTTATAGCTGTCATGGTGCCTCGGTATTTATGTTTGTGGCTACGCGGCTGCTTCAATAAAAAAAGTTTGATCACGCAGTGACCCTACTATTCGCACTCTGTACACTTATCTCTGACAGTAGTCGTAAGGACACACAATATGGCGGCCGATAGTCGCGTGCTTTTCTGTCAGAGGGATCGCGTGTCTACCCGGATTTTCTTTATAGAGCCTTCTACAAAAGCTCGCTGCACCGTTGTGCTTTTCACGCCGATATCACTGGAACGAAGACGAAATGGAAAATGGATGCTCTCTTTTCTACACTGCACTGGTCGTGCCGAAGATGCCTCACTGTGATATTTCGTGCTACACAGTGATGACGGTGCTTTTTTGATAAAACTGGTGCTGCTTTCGTGTTTGAAACACTCTGATCTAGTTCATCCTGGCAGTACGTGCTATGGCTAATTTTCCGAGAAGAGAAACCGTATGAAAATTGGCTATAAAAGCGTAATTGCATGCAAAGTCACAAGTAAAAGCTATAAAAAGTGACACTGCTAACAGTTGACGACTCCAGCACAAGTACCTCCAGATCATGCAATATTTTTGAAAAGTGCAAAAGTACACTACCCAAAAAAGTTAAGGGAGCAAGAAGATATCCAAGTTATTCTGTGATTTTTGAAAACCTGTATTCTGGTGAAACGTGGCCGTATCTAGACTTTAAAAAAGGATGTAGAAGCTTTTAGATTCAAGTTTTGAAGGTTCTCAGCCGCAACATTTTTTGCAAAACCTTTGCCTTCTTTTTAATCCACAGGCTCGACCTTTCTTTCTGTCAGGTCATGCGGATTAGATAGTCCGTTTATTCAGCTTAAATATCCTATTTTTAGAATCTCGATGCGATCATTTGGGGCGGAGATATCTGATTTTGAATGAAAATGGATCCTTTTGTTATCGACCACTGATATCCTGTATCAAGTGATGGCACATAGAATGTAAGGGTATTTCCGAAAGGAAACGCTTTTTTGTCTCCTTAGTGTTGATTTAAAAAATGTCAACAGGTTAATTTTTTCCTTGTTTTGGAAAATCAACCGCATTTTTGGGACTGCTAATGAGAAGGTATTTAGATTTTTTATACCTGAATTTACCCTTAATAACCCTGCACGATGCCAGGTCGATCCATTTTATGTTTTTTCAGTCAGCCTCTGAGACCCATCAAAAAATAATTTCTAGATCCGTGCCTCTTCAGTATTTTTGTTTTTTGGACTATTCCATGAATAAAAGAATAACATTTTCCCTATTGCGTTTTCAAATTGATAGTGTTATAGATATCCAATACTGATCATAAAGAAAGAAAATTGATTTTTCCATTTTCAACCAGATTACAGGTTGTTTTGATACAAAAATTTTGTTCCTTTGATTTCTTTGAATGCGATCGATTTTCCAAAACAAGGCAAAAACTAACTTCTGTTTTACTTTTTTTAATTCTTCGCGAAGGAAAAAAAACAATTCCGATTGGAATCATACCTTATATGAGATACATTCCAGTTCTGGGAAATACCCTTACATTCACTTATGATCACTTGTTACTGAGTGGTCAATGACCTAAGGATCCTTTTGATCCAAGTGATCGTATTGGGATTTTGGAAACAGGATATTGAAGCTAAATAAACGCGCTATCTGATCCATTTGCAGGAAATCATGCTTTTTTCTAAAATTTTTCGGCTAAAAACGTAAAAATTAGGATCTTGGAGCTTCAAAATGATTTGAAGGGTCTAGATGCGACCATTTTTCGGCGAAATACACTGAAAATTTTGAATTTTTTGTTGCTCCCTTAGTTCTTTTAAGTAGTGTAGTTCGAAGTACGAACCAAAAAGCATGAATAGATGCACTGATTTTGTCAAAGCATAATGAAATATGTACAACACTAGTTACGCAAACAGGAAACGCGATTAGAATGCTTGCGTCTATCACCAAGGAAGCGCTTTGAGCGGCTGTCCATATTTTGACATTTCAGGCGTTAGACGACACCGCTGTTTTAGCTGCTTTTGTAAGCGCCAACTGTTTCAGGATTTATGCTGGTTCAGTCATTCAACGCATGCGTGGACCGAGTTGCCAGGTCTGTAAGCTAGGTTAAGTTAAGATCTTTTTATCGCCAACGTGTTAGAGGAAAATTGTTTGAGTTTGAACAAAGACATGCAGAATTAGCATATACATACTTGAGATCTAGGATGTAGTGTCAAAAAGAGTGGTTAATAGCACAAATCAGGTGAGCTTGATATTTCCATGTCATTTTTATCATACCAATGTCAAAAGCTACAGATGTCAGCGGTAACACTTTATCGCTTTCGTTCAAACAGTTCTCGCAGCAGTTTTTTCTAGGACAGACACAATCAATGAGACTACTTATACTGAAGCATGCCCTCTTTCCCTTGACCTCCAGATCGATGCGGTAGTTCATCTTAGGCTACAA